ATGCACAGGAGAGAGAGGAGGAGGGCTGGGGAGGGAGAGGGCTGGGAGGGGGAGGGCTGGGGAGGGGGAGGGCTCGGGAGGGGGAAGGCCGGGCAGGAGGAAGGCTGGGCAGGAGAAGGGTGGGGAGGAGGAGGGCTGGGGAGGAGGCTGCCCTTCCTGCTCCCTTGGCGCCTGTGCCCAGGCCACACTGGCCTTGCGAACCCAGAACAGTCCCAAGTGAGAAGAGTCCTGGGAGTTAATGAGACCCAGCCTTTCCCCCAGTTTTTGGAAGATGGAGGAGCAAGGAAGACACAGGAGGAGAGGAGGCATAGCTCATCCTGGAGGTGCCCACAGATGAGATGGGTGGTTCCTCAGTCCTCTTCCTCAGCTTCTTACACACATACACACACACACACACACACACACACACACACAAAGGTGTAAGAACAGATAAGGATGGAGGGCAATTAACAGTTGGCCAAATAACATGAGACAGGCCCAATTAATTTGTTCACTCATTCACCTGTTTCTTTGTTCATCACACCCATCGATCCATCATTCCCTCCTTCCCTTCCATTCCCATCCCATCTCCCTCCCTCCCTCGCTGCATCCTTCCACGCCTCCTCCCAGCGATCCACTCACTAAGCATCTGGTGAGGTCACAGAGAGCCAGGCACTGTCAGCACAGGACGCTGGAGGCACAGAGCAAGCAAGACCCCGTCTGCCCTCAGAAAGCATACAACCTAAGGGGGAAAACAGGTCATTGTGTGACTCTATCACGAAGCAGCAAGGGGCTTTTATAAGAAGGCAGTGAGGGTATCCCGGAGCAGCAGGCCCCCTTCCAGCCCAGCTGCTCTCCACCACTGGGGAGGGTCTGGGGCAGAGCTGGTGCCATGCTCCAGGGTCACCAGTACCCCAGGCACCTTGGAGAGCAGGCAGGAGGTAGCAAGTTCGTGGGGGAGGCCAGCTTTGGGCCATGCCCCAACAGTGCAAGAGTTGCGATGGTCCCAGAAGTGGGTGGATGTTCAGTCTGGGACAAGTCAGGCAGGAGACCCAAGGTTACTCTGTCACTGGGTCTCCTCCACAGTAGGTAGCAGAGAATGACATGTGAGAGGCATCATGAAGCACAGGAAGCCCATAGGGCATATTTCAGGGGACCAGGGGCCCCGGAAATGGGTTGGTCCAACTTGCTCACACGTTGATGTGCAGTCAAGGTCAATGGTTTAGCCCAGTTTTGCCCTCACCTGGAGCCTGAGTCACTTCTCTCTGCCTTGTGGTGTGCTTATCTGTTCAGCAGAGACACTAACCACTGTCCTGCCACCCTGAGAGTCGGGGCACATACTCCGTGGTGAATTTGAAAGTTCCATTGAAACAGCAACTTGCAGCCTGAGTTTAAGGTGCAGGTGACAAGGAGGCTGCCCTGAGCTATGTCCTCAGGTTCACATGCCCCTCGTCCTGCTCACCACAGCGCTGCCACTGCCCCCTCCTGCCCTCAGATGGGAGCAGGCGGCATCTGAGCCCACTCTCCTCCTCCCTCCCGGATCTCCCGGTGCCCGGCCCAGGTTTCAAGGAGACGGCCTTCCTGTACGCGGTGTCCTCGGCCGCCCTCACGCACACTCTGGCCCGGGCCTGCAGCGCTGGGCGCATGGAGCGCTGCACCTGCGATGACTCTCCGGGCCTGGAAAGCCGGCAGGCCTGGCAGTGGGGCGTGTGCGGTGACAACCTCAAGTACAGCACCAAGTTCCTGAGCAACTTCCTGGGTCCCAAGAGAGGAAGCAAAGACCTGCGAGCACGGGCAGATGCCCACAACACACACGTGGGCATCAAGGTGAGCACATTCCTGGGCGGCCCGAACCCCTTCCCAGCCAGAGTGCAGGGCTGGGGACCTGGGTCTGTAGGAGACACCCGTCCTGGCCCCCAGCACACACACAGAGCTGTCCCAGCATGAACCTCGTTCTTTCAACCAACATTCCTTGGACTTCCACACTGGACCATTACCAGGTCCCAGGAAGTAGGGAAGGGCCCTGGGCCTCATTGGTGGCTGGGCAGCAGATGGGAACCAGGCTTGGGACCAGGACTTGGTAAGGCAGGAACATGTGTGGAGAGGGGTATCCATTCCAAGGACTGGCCTTCCTGGAGGTCCTAGAAACCAACATTGTTTAAAACTGATCTGGTACAACCCCTGCCACTCCTCATTTTACAGATGGGAAGACACAGGAGGCCCAGAGAGGGGAAGGGGCTTAGCTGTGGTCACACAGTAGTGGGAGGACTGGAGGGTAAAAAGTATCTAGGTCGATTGGGATGAGTAAGCTGGATGGGGCTAGTGCTCCAATTCTTTAGGAAATTGAGTTCTGTGTTCTGTATCCTCATCACTGAGTTGGTGTAAACCAGGGCTGCTGTGTTCAGTTGTGCAAGCTGTCTGCTCCACAAGCACCCTGTGCCAACGTGCAGGCACTCACCGAGCAGCTGAGGCTGAGATCCCGCCCACCCTGCTCTCACTGAGGCATGCACATTGGCACAGGACTGCCTCTGGCCAGCAGAAGGGGAGCCTTGGGCTAGTTTGCTCAAAGGTGCCATGTGGGCTAGCTTGAGTCCTATTTGCCCCCCTCATGTGAGCCTTCTACTCTCTCTTTCCCATCCTCTTGACGCTCCCCTGCCAGGGTTGGTGCTCTGGGGCAGGCTTGGGTCATGGGCCCCAGCCTCTGACCACGCCTCCATTCTGCCTCTCCTCGCAGGCCGTGAAGAGTGGCCTCAGGACTACATGTAAGTGCCACGGCGTGTCGGGCTCCTGCGCCGTGCGCACCTGCTGGAAGCAGCTCTCCCCCTTCCGCGAGATGGGCCAGGTGCTGAAGCTGCGTTACGACTCAGCTGTCAAGGTGTCCAGTGCCACCAACGAGGCCTTGGGCCGCCTGGAGCTGTGGGCACCTGCCAGGCCGGGCAGCCCCACCAAGGGCCTGGCCCCCCGACCCGGGGACCTCGTCTACATGGAGGACTCCCCCAGCTTCTGCCGGCCCAGCAAGTACTCGCCGGGCACGGCGGGCAGGGTGTGCTCCCGGGAGGCCAGCTGCAGCAGCCTGTGCTGCGGGCGGGGCTATGACACCCAGAGCCGCCTGGTGGCCTTCTCCTGCCACTGCCAGGTGCAGTGGTGCTGCTACGTGGAGTGCCAGCAGTGCGTGCAGGAGGAGCTCGTGTACACCTGCAAGCATTAGGCCTGCTGCCCAGTGTGCCAGCCGGGAAGCCAGGACCTCCCGCGGCCCCTGGTCAGTTTGAGGCCACCCAGCTGTCCAGCCGGCCCCTCCGGGCAAGTACATACAGCGTGCGTGCACTCACTGATGTACGCACCAGTGCACACCTTCTCCTCTCTCCACCGGGCCTCGGTAACATTTTCCTCCCTCAACACTCAGCAAAGAGAGGTGGGGGCCCCACCCCTGACCCCGAGGATCCCCAGCCTTGTTGAGGACTTGGAGCAGGAGGGCAGAGTAGAAAGGATGTGGAGGGAAATAAGGGAGACCAGGAGGAGGGCAGGACTGAGGGTTTGGAGGGGAGAAAGGGGACATCTCGTCATCTCGAGTGCTGGGTGAGTGGTCTAGAGCCAGCAACAAGTCGGGAGGTGAGCTCTGGGCCAAGAAGGCACAAGGAGGCAGTGTCAGCTGGAAGCAAGGGCTGGAGTCTGGCTGGGATGGATCAGTCCAGGCCTCAGGCCCTGCTCAGGTGGCAGTGAGCCCTGGGGCCATACACCCTCACTACCCTGTGGCTTTGCTGTACGGGAGAAGGGGGAAGGCCAGGTGGAAGGAACCGTTGGTTTGGAGAAAGAAAGGTTTGGGCCTGAGTAGACCCAAGTAGGTTATGTGCCCTGGAGCCCTGTGTCCTTGATTTGGTTTTTAAAATATGCCCGCATGGAGGCTTCACCATTGTCTTGAGAGCTGAGCGGAGGCCAGACAAGCAGGGAGGGCCGGTCCCCAGGGTGGGGCGCAGATAGTTCACCGAGGTTGCACAGGGAGACAGTGACCTCTCCCCATTTTCCCTGTGACATGTAACCTTTAGTCCCAGGCCAGGAGAGGGTGACAGCCCCCTGGTGCCAGGGAGGGACACGGGGAGCTCAGTTTCTGTCTTCCCTTGAGCCCACTTTGGTCAGCTCCCAGTGGCTGGGATCCCCCTGTGAGGCCCCAACACAGCTGACATTCATTACAGGAGAGTTAGTTTATGATTCTGATTCTGGTTACATTTCTACTCTCATAGCTACTCATCTAATTAAGGGTTTTTTTTCCGGGCTGGAGTTATAGGCATAGGAAACTCTTTGCTAAGCCCAGCTCCTTGGGGGCCCCCTTCATTTACTAATGGCCCCCTGCTTTGGCTTTTACCTGAAAATGGAAGTGACTTTACTAATTTCCTCTGATCCTGTGGACATTTCCAGTGCTACCTACCAAGGCTCTGTGTGGGAGGAGCAGAGAGAAACTGGTACACACACACACACACACACACAGACACACACATATGCAGGCACACACACCCCTTGGGCCTGCCAGGCTGAGGGTTCCTGTTTAGCAGCACACACCTCTCTGGTGCAGGACCAAGATCTTGCAGGGGTCACTTTGCTGGAGGCTGCGTGCTTCCCCAGAGCAGGGCCCGATGCCAGCCAGGAGGAAGTGACCTCCTTCCGGAAGCTTTTGGCCGCTTTGCCGGCCCCACCGCGCCCTCTGTCAGCTTCCTTTCTCCCTGAACCCAGAGTTGCTGACCCTCTACTGAAACAGGAAACTTCAGGCTCCCTGAGACCTCCAAGGGTGTGCAGGAGCTGCCCTGTCTTCAGTGGATCAGGATGATCCTGCAAGATGCTGGAAGGATCTTTGGCTGCAAAGGCTCTGAGGAGAAGCCAAACTGACCTGAGACCCCTCTCTAGACTGACTCTGCTGACCCAAGCAGCTGGCCCACGTCTTGGCAGGAAGAGCAAAAAGGAGAGAGCACTGGTTTTCTAGTTTCTTCCACTCCTCGACTGCATGGAGACTTTCTCTCTGCCAGCCCCATCCATCTTGCTCCTCTGAGACCGCAGCTCTGCCTCCACTCAGGCTCAGCACTTGGCAAAAGGCGGCGGAGGCCTATCTGGCAGGAAGAGGGGGCCTGACCCACCAACACGGCATCCACATCCCAAGTCCATGACCGTCAGTGCTGGGGTTGCAGGAGGATAAAGGGCAGACTCTGAGGGACCGAGGCCTGGGCTGGCCACTAACATTGACTAGGTCAATGGCATGGGTGCAGGCTCAGAGGGCCCCTCGGCTTGTGGGGTCCTCCCTGTCCAGCCCTCTCCCTCTCTTCTCCTTCCTTGCTCCCACCCCTTTCTCTTCCAGTTGCCCCCGTAGGTCCATCTCAGCCCTGCTGGGGCCCCTGGGGACCAGTGACCACTGACCCCTCATTCTACAGCTTTAAGGGAAACACTCACAGGGTATTTTTTGTCTACCTCACATATATAGTATTTAGGGCAAAAGAGAATAATTTATATAGCTAAGATATATGAGAAAATATTTATGTTATTTATATAGTTTCTATATTCCATGGGCAGCACCTGTGGGGTCTGTGTTCTGCCGGAAGCCATCTCTCTGGGGAGATACAGCCTGGCCTGACTGGGGCACCCACTGACCTGGACACCAGGTGACTGGGCAGAAGGTCGCACAGGCTCCCGTGTCCTGTGACCAGGTCTGTCTTGGAGCTGGTGAGCACGCATCCCCTTCATGCATGAGCCCTGGTGGGCTCCATCTGGATCCTCCTTGTGAAGTCTTTGTAAATTCTCTGCTGTTCCGGGTCCCAGGCTCCCTCTTCTGCTCTGGCAAAATTGGCTTGTTCATAATAATAATGACAACAAGGATGACCACACCTTGCATTTGTAAAGCACTTTTGATCTTCGGAAACACTTTTGTCCCTTAAATGTCACTTGATTTCCCCATTATCCCTGTGAGGTAGGTGGGGCCACATTACTGTGCCTATTTCACAGATGCGGCCGAGAGCTGGAGGGCTGTGCTCAAAGTCACGCTGGAGAGGTTCGTTCAATGAACATTTCCTGAACTTCTACGTGGGCCAGGCGCCATGGGGGCTGACTTACCTTGGGCCTGGGAGCCCCAAAGCCTGGATACACCCTGAGCCCAAGAACCCAGGGAAGTGGCTGCTTCCCCGGCTGTGTTTGACCCTGGCCTTTCGGATCTGGATGGCAGATTGGCGTTTTCCCAAGTGGAGTCCTGGGTCTCAGCGGCTGGAACTCCCTGAGAGGCCTGGAGAGACAAGGACCCCTTGGAGGCCACTCCAGGGGCTCCACCATCCGGCTCGCCCTCCTTCTGCCCACGCTCCGAGAGGGTCTGGCTAATCACAGGGCCCCTCCCAGCCCACTGATGGGTTTTGTTTGCTCTCATTTGTGTTTTTCTTTTAAAAATGAATTGTTTCCCATTGGCTTTCTGGCTTGTCTTGTAAAATCAGCTGCGCTGGCAAACCGAGGCTGCATTCCCACCTGGCCACAGTCAGCTAGAGAAAGGGAGCCCTCTCAGACAGGATGCACGGGGCTCCCCAGTTTACCAAGCACCTCCCACCTCGGCCCACTGCGCTCAGGGGTGTTTCAGCCTGGCTCTCGCGGGCACGTCGTGTCTGCCCTCTGGTCCAGATAAGCTCAGCCTCTCCAGTGTCCTCCACTGCCTGGCAAACAGACCAACAGACAGACTCGTGCCAACCCTGAAGATTATTTCTTGCTTTCTAGAGTTTCCTTTCTCAACAACCAGGAACGTCAAATGCTTTTTGTCTCAACACATTTTAGAATTACAATGGGAGCTGTCGTATATCCAGTGTCTGTTCTGTCCACCCATTCAATCAGCGATTATTTAGTGAGCTCCTGCTGAGCTCCGGACACCTCTCTGAGTGCTGGGTGCAGCAGTGAGCAAGCCAGTCCCCGCCTTGTGGGGCTGCCACCCTAGGGGAGGAGAGAGACAGTGAACCAATAAACAACATGTCAGCTATTTGCACCTATTTTGTCTCAATTTATTGCAAGAACCCTGCCTGCTCGATGGACACAGCCATCCCCATCTTGTGGTTAAGGGAACGGAGGTTAGGAAATGTGAGGGCTCCTGAATTCCACCAGGAAGCAGTGGTGTCAGGGCTGGAACATAGAGCCGCTGGCCTCCAAGATATGGACTCTTCCCCCCTTATGCTGCCTCCCCTCAGATGTCAGCAGGTGGGGGATGGATCACCCCATTTTATGGATTCTGGGTAAACTGAGGCCTAGAAGAAGGATGGCGTGTCACCATCCAAGGTGACACGCCAAGTCAGACCAGGCTGGAGCCTGGGTCCCCTCCCAGAGATAAGTGTTTCTAGCGCCCTCATCCCATGGCCAGCAGTGTGGGTTGGGGGCAGGGGGAAGATAAGGCACAGCAGGAGCCTTCAAGGACTATGGTCGCATAGGAGAAATGAGAGGCACGGCCTTGCAATGGTTTGGAGCTCCTCCTCCGGCCACACTACCTTCCCAGCATGCTTTGAGAAGTGCATGTCCTCAACCAGCTGCTGCTCCTGGGGGTCTTGGGGGGAAGGAGGCCCCTTTCTGAGCAAAGGGCTTGTCCCTGCCCCTCCCCAGCTCTTCAGCCCTGCTGGGATCCACACAGGGTCCCCAGGGAGGGAGGCAGAGGGAGGCCCACAGTCCATCCCTGAGGGCACCTACATTTCCACCTGCATGCCTGTCCTAACATGTCCCTTCTGCCCCGTGTTCTGGGGCCTGGAGACCAGCCTGTTCTGAGCAGTGACAGAAGTGTCCACACGCAGTGGCAGGCTCCAGGGTCCCAAGGCATTTCTCACCCGTGTTCTCACTTGAGCCTCACAAGGCAGGCACCCTTCTTCACTTTTTACAAATGGGGAAACTGAGGCACAAAATGGTTGAGTGACTCACTGCAGGCCACACAGCTAAGAAGCAGACCCAGCTCTTTGCCTCCAGACTCTATGTTCTTTCTACCCTACACTGCTTTGAGCTTCCCCCTACCCCCTTTCTCCTAGCCTGCCCTTAAACCAGGTCCCAAACAGGCCCTGGGGCCTCTCCCCCTTAGCCACTGGGTGCACTGCTCTTCCTGGGGATCAGCGCTTGCTGAAACAACCACTATGTGGGTACTGTACCACGGTATCCCCCCTCCCTCTTTAAAAACGTTTAGCCACATTTGCTCTCTCTCTCTGTATACACATATTTATTTTGTTGAGCCATTTGTGAGAACATTGCAGACACCGAGATACTTAAATACTTTATCACATAGCACCTATGAACAAGAACATTCTCCAAAAGAACCACAAGGCCATCATCACATCCAAGAGATGTAAGATTGACACAATATTATCTACTACACACTTCCTATTCCTACTTCCCCAATTGTCCCTCAAAATGTCCTTTATAGCTTCTTTTCCTGATCGAGGATCCGCTCAAGAATCGGGCATTGCATGCTGTTGTCATGTCCCTCTACCCCTCTTTGGTCTAGAATAGTCTCCCTGCCGTCTTTGCTTTCACGACATTGGTATTTTGAAGCGTTCAGGCTGGATGTCTTGTAGAATGTCTCTCAATTGAGATGTGTTGGATTGTTTCCTTATGATTAGGTTCTGGTTAAACATTTTGGCAAGAAGTCTCTGGGGTGGTGTGTGTCCTCTGTGCACGCTGTCAGGAGCAGAGGGAGGTTGGTTTGTCGACATTACCAGTGATGTTGAATTTCATCACCTGGGTAAGGTGGTTTCCGTCAGAGCTCTCTGATGTGAAGTTGCCCTTTTTCCTTTGTGATTCATGACTCATCTGTGGGCTGAC